AACCTAATATACTTCTCCCACATGGAAATTATATAAGTATGGTTGTTTATAACTGTATGCACTGGACATGTGTTCTCTCTCAGTAATGTGCATGTTTGCTCCATTACTCATTTACCCATTCTGGTAATTTTTTCTCTGAGTTTTTAGTCCACAAACCAATGTTTAGTCTCTGGAAGAAAGTCAAGGTATTATGACGTGTGTGTGTGTGTCTATATATAAACAAAGAGATATATATGTCTCATATCCTATAGATTTTGGTCTGCCTTTTTCTTTGCTTACGGAGATGCACCTGATTAGTTTGTTTCACCTGTTTGATAAATAGTATTTTTCACAATATAATTTTATTTCACGGTGTCTACTCAACGAATTGCTTGTGAGTGTGTGTTTTCACAAATGGTGCAGAATAAACTCCCAACTAAATCGTTGGATATGTATATAATTTGCAGAGTTGCAAACACTTTCAATTTCGACTGTGTGGTGATCAGGACATTCTGTGTTGCTTGGACAACCGAGCTAAGACGGCGATGCCACCACCTACTTGTATCTGTACAGGAACTCCGGTGATTATTTCTGTGAGTGCCTAAATATATATCCTCTGCTCTCCAAATGGTAGTGTTTGAGGTTTTCATTTCTCCCCCTTCCAGTTCTGCTGAGCACCTTCAATTCCCCTTTCCCCTGCTCGAAGGAATTGGCGCCTCCGTTAGTGACCCCGAGTAGTGATGCAATGATGTATTGTTTGATCTTCTCCAAAGATTTTCAAATAGTTATACTTTGATTCAGAGCTCGTTGTGTTTTACTGTATATGCAGTTTGTTCTTATGAATTTCTCCGAGTAGGTAGATCCTTTAGGGTTACTAACTTACTGTGAACAAATGTTTTGTCTTGTTCGTGTAGTTTCCAAAAATGAAGAAGCTTGTCGTTCAACCGATGACAAAACACCTAGAGTACGTGCAAAAATTACTACTTCCTCATTTACAGCAAACTCATTGATACGACAAAGGCAAAATTTTGGGTGGCAAGGTATATGATTAGATCATGTGTAATCTTCTAGATGCATTTTTCTATTCTTCCATTGTGTTCTTTAGACATGCCTCTTTTTGTTATTTTACATCAGTTAACTGAAGTTCATATTATTCCTTTATCTGATTGTAGCTTCAAAGTTTTATTACAGCAGAGTCATTGATACAACATACACAGTTTGTGAATTTACCTACTACTACGAGTTACGTCATATAGCAATGTTTTCTTGCCTAGAAAAATATTACATGAAAGGCCTAATGTCTTGTGAATGTGTATAGTAGCTACGAGTAGGTGGTCAAACTGTACACCTTTAAAGCATGAATAAGGTGCTAGCTTATGTGCTGCAGTTGCTTTGCATTGTTCAGATGCAATGTGTTTTCGCTCAGCGGGAGCACTTCTTCTGATTATTTATAATTTTTAGTTTGCTTCTTATAATTTTAAGACAATTTTTGCGACTTGGAATGTATAGCATCCCCCTTTTCTCACTGGAAATGACATGTAAGAACAAACCAGTTCCAGTTCTGGCATAGTTCTGATGGTTGAAGTGTATGTCTATATGATTTAGTATATGCATGGGAGTACCCGCTAAACGATGAAGCATATTGTGTCGTGTTAGCTCCATCTAGCTTTATTATCTTGAATTCTGTATCTAGATTTTGTATGTTGTATTCCCTTTCACCGCGTCTACATACTTGATGAAGCTTTTTTCTGATTGCAAAGTATGTGCAAGTCAGTAGTGAACACTCTATATCGTTGTTCCAGAAAAGCAAGATTCAGCAATTTCCGCAACATTTCATGTCCGTTCCATGTAGTAGTTTTTGCGGAATTATATTGATGATTTCCTTTTACCTTCATATTTGCTTAGTTTTCTTAGCAAACACAAAATGCTTTGCGTCTTGAAGCATTGATAGAAGCGAACATAATTCATGATACAAGCCTAATACTCTGAAAATATTTTTACGGTTCACTATTCCTATGAGGGGAGTGAGTGGAGACAGCCATGAGTGGCTCAACATGTCGAGCAGCGGCCGCCTATGAGGGGAGTGAGTGGAGACGCGCAAATATGTGTGGTGGAGGGGCAACGGAAGCTTGAACGGAAGATTCGTCGCCAACATCGAAGAAATCTATGGCCTGATCGACCCTAAAGCTCCTGCATGGACATGAAGGTGTGTCATTATTAAGAAGTCCAGTCTTTGGAAACTCAGCAAGCTAGGAAATTCTCTCTCGACAATTTTGTATGTACTTGGGAGCATTGCTAATTTCTGTCAACACGAATGATATCTGGATTATTTATATAGCTACCATGCGCTGAACAAATTGTTGGATTAATGTAACACTCCTGAATAGATTGGTGTGTGGGCCATGTCATTTCGTTTGGTTTACACTACCATAATCATTTTGTCAGTGTCTGATCTATTAATACTTATTTGAGAGAAAATGCTTCCAAAATGTTATCTTGACAGCAACATTGTAGCTATTTTTCTCCGGCATGTATGATAAGCATAGGTGTCAATTTTGGATACATGATAGATTGTTAGCTGTTTTGATTCCATATTTTAACGACTATTGAGAATTATGATGGGCTTGTATTAGAGGACTAGATTGTTGCAAATGGTTATGGTGTGAATCTGATTCATACTAAAGGGACTCTTGTGGTTGCAGGTGACCGGGGGCAGATTGCCGACATTTGCCACACTATGGGCAATCTATGTGATGATCTGCTCTCCGCAATCGAAGCCAGGAATGAGCGACAAGATCTCTTCGGGAATGGCTGATGAGGAAGAATTGACTGCGGGGGAATGGTGGACCTAGGTGGAGTTCGCTTTAGCCAGTGAGGGACGAGCTTTAGTTGTGTAGGGGAAGGGAAGCCACATGCATGAGTCAGACATAATAAATCGGCTCGAAAATGACTCTGTTAGTCCAGAATCTCGTCTTGGACGACCCATATGGTGGTCTAACATTCAATCCGGTGTGAAAGTGCCTCACATAGTCATGTTTCATGGACTTCAGATGTGGGCCATATTCACTGTTCAAAAGAAGCATACATAGATTATTAGTGGCCTATGTGTGTTGGGCTGTAAATCCCGGGGCAACTTGATGGGAGGGATAACGAGCACACATGTGCTCCAACACATAATAGAGTGCATATAACATGGCTTTCTCACGACTTTATGCCACTAATAAGAAGTCCTTCCATTTTAGATCATGAGTTGATGAAATTTATTCCTCAATATATATGATAATTTAGGATGTAACCAAATCTCTCATTTTTGACTTTAAACAAATCGTACTACATTCTTAGATAAATGTGCTTTGAATAAACTATTTTTTATCATAGGCATATTTAAACAGTTGATCAAGTCTTCGGTCAGCATCACATGTTCATTCGATGGAATGTGACTATGTCACAATCTTGGTGCAAAAGTTTGCCTTGAAAACTAATTGTATAGACAGATGTCACCCTGAATTCTTATCTCTCACACGGCGTTTGGTATCCTTTTATAGGGCACATAAGTTATCTATTACTCCATCCGTTTCCAAATATTTGTCTTTCTTGATATTTCAAATGAACTATAACATACGGATGTATGTAGACATTTTCAGAGTGTAGATTGACTCGTTTTGTTTCATATGTAGGCACTTGTTGAAATCTCTAAAAAGACAAATATTTGGGAACGGAGGGAGTACAATCTATGAGATGGCCAACTGGAGAAGTCATGGGACGTGGGTGAATAAAACACGAAGAAGAAAGGATCGTGGGAGAGGGAGGGGGAGAGAAAGATGAGGAGATTCATTTATCTACCACATCACTAGCATGAAATATCTTCACATGTAAATAGTTCCCTATACATTTTTGTTAGCGTATTTCTCGGTGTACATATACTTTGTTAGCCCGTGGCAACGCACGGGCATTGTACTAGTTATAGATTAGTTGGGACTAAATTATCCTTGGCAAATTTATTGGTTAGTGGCATGTAAATCAGTCAGTTCAGGAATGTAAGAGATACATGCAATCGAGAGAGAGATACTTTCTTCTTTTACTATAAGGAGATATACACACAATCAGGAGGGAGATACTTTCGTTTTTTCAAAGGGATAGAAAGGGGATTATGGGGAACCAGAAAAAATGCATCTTACATTATGGAATTTTATCAACAAACAAATATGCCTTACATAAAAGAACAGAGGGAGTAGTAAACTAAAACTAGAAGATCAAATGAAAAAACATTAAAGATGGGATGAATGGCACATGTAACTCTCTAACAAAAGTATGCATGCATAAGGCCTTCATAATTAATCACTCTCTTCATTCCCCAATGTATTGCGCCTTATTTTCCGAGATCTAAGTTTGATCATAAATTAAACTAACGAGACCGAGTGCGGCGGGAGCAAAAATTATACCACTGAATTTGCATTTTGATACGAATTCAGTGATATAATTTTTGCTCACGCCGCATTCGGTCTCGTTGATTAAATTAATGGTCAAACTTAGATCTCAAAAAGCGCGGCCGCACTACATTGTGGAATGAAGGGAGAATGATTAAGACAGGCAGAGAGAGAGAGAGAAAATAAGCATGCATGCATACATATCTTCAATCAAATGGACGGTTGAGACATCCATGGGAGAATCTCTTTTCTCATATGACTCCCCCTAGAGTTGCTTTTAGGAACTTGCATAGCGCAGAACGAAACAAATTCTGAGATTGTAAGTTTGATATTGGTGGATAAGCCATAAAAATTACACGTCGTTGGTGTGAGAAGCTCTAGTTCTGTACCAGCGCTGATGTGGACCGATGCTCCAGCTTCAATGCTTCAGTAGCCTTCCGCGTCGGCGAGCGACGACCGAGCACCAGCACCAGCAGCTCTTCCCTTTCCTCCCCCACTCCCACGGACGGACGGGACAGGGAAAGGGCCGACCGACGCGCATCTCGTCGCTCGCTCCGCCGACCCGCTCCCCTCCTCCTCCTCCCGTCCCTCGCCATGGAGGAAGCCAAAGGTACGCTTTGCCGCTCCGCTCTGGTCATCTCGCCTCGTGGGTCTAGGATGGTGGGTTTGGATCTCGATGAATGGGGCGGCAGTTCCCTGATTCCACACCTGAATGGGAGTGTGCTGAGGAGACTGCACTGAAGAAGACGCACTTCTCAGCCTACTTTGAGGGGGCTAGATTTATAATCTCAGTTTGGTGCTCCATTTTGTCGTTCGTCAGTACCAAAACTGTCCTCAGACAGTTGCTTAGTTTCCCCAAAACCGTAGCAATGAGTGATGCCGATTGACAAGAATCAGAAGAAGGCTCCGGGAAATCGCAGGGCAGGCCATACACGATCGAATGGGACCAGAATTTTTTTGTCTGGATTGCCGAGCGCGGTCAGTGTTCCATTGTCATGTTCCTGTCCTGCACCGCCGTGGTGTTCACAACCTTTCTGCAGTTCATGGCCATCTTGTTTGGTCATGTGTGCTAATTTTCTCTGTGCATTTCATAAGTTGCTCTACCCAGATGCTTTATCCTTTCTTTTGACCAAGTAAATCTCATGCAAAAAATCTCTCGTGAATTGTAGTTGTGGAGTCCAAGGACGGAGCTACCTCAGTTGCTTCTGCATTTCCTGGTCATCCGGAAGGTACTACCACTAGTTACTACTCCCTGCTTCTTACCGCATTGCAATTTGCAAGACATAACGTATTTCACCAATGAACATCTTTGTTATCCTCTGCAATTGGAGAAACACTCTTACAGAAAAGACTGGGTTGTTTATGCTCTGCTTCTTTCCACAGCCGCACAAGACAGAGATCACAAGTTCTTATCGATAGCGGTAGAAGAAGCCTACCGAGCAGTCGACCGTGGCCATGGACGCCCATTTGGCGCAGTCGTGGTCCGCAACGACCAAGTAGTAGTCAGTTGCCATAACATGGTTTTGAAGAACACCGATCCAACTGCACATGCTCAAGTAACTGCAATAAGAGAGGTGATTAAGTTGCCCTGTAAATATATGCACCCATGCTTACTGTTTACAGTTTGGTGCTTAATGTTTTCTTTTAGTTCATTTCAAATGTGTCATGGATACCGCTACGCCCAAGCCCACCAACGACGCCGATCGGCCCAAGAGGAACAAGAAACCCAACCGGCTTTTCGACCCGGCCACTTGGGAGCTGTGATAGGTGGTTAAGTAGGTCCTGGACCAGATGAGAGGGGCACGATTGAGTAATAGACTGAACCCACTTCTCCGAACCCCAGTTCTCTGTCTCGTGTATCTCCTCCTTCATCCGATCCCCTTCCTCCTCCTCAAACCCTAGCCTCAATTCCCCTGTAATCTGGCACAATTTGTTCGATGGAGTAAGAGGGATGTGACATATGGTATCAGAGCTCCCTGATTACCTACAGAAGCCCACTTATACCACGCGACAACAACGTCAGGCCGGCGGTATGGAGCAGTGCGTGGAGGAGCTGGCGGCGGTGCTCAAGACCATCCAGGAGCAGAACGCCGCCATCCAGAAGGCGGTCGAGGCGACCACAACCCTCTTCGCCGAGATCCAGCCGGTGGTGACCGATCTGGCGGCGTGGAAGCCCGTCCTGTTGCAGTCCGTCGTGGATCTGTGTCAGGAGCCGGGCGGCGTACGGAAGGAGGTGGATACCGTCGGTCGCAACCCCGTCCTCGCCCTCAAGCCTTCGGAATTCCCTCTGATCCTTCCATCGCCGGGCAGCGCGCCTTTCTCCAACCCGGGCAGCAGCGCCCACAAGCCCGATGGCCGCCGCGTCGATCCAACACACCGGGGGGTTGGCTCTGGGGTAGTCACCACCCTAGTCCCACCTCCGGTCACGAGTACGTACCAGAATCCGTATCCTCCTGGGGGTCAACTAGTCGCTGATCACCGGTCGAGAGCTTCTGGGTGGTCACCGTCGCGTGGCCAGTCCCGATCTGATAGTCCACGCCATCCCCGATCCAGCAGTCCCTTCCAACACCGCTCTCTCGTCCTGCCTAGGCCTAAAATGGATTTCCCTCCGTTTTGGGGAGAGCGACCGCGTAGTTGGAAGCGCAATGGTGAGTCGTATTTTAGGATCTTCCATTTGGATCCGGAGTTATGGGTCGACACTACTGCTATGCATTTCACAGGGGCTGCCATGGTTTGGTTAGAGAACAATGAGTTCGATCTTAGCCACATGGATTGGGGAAAGTTTTGCACCATTGTGTGTGATCAGTTTGAGCGAAACGAGTTCACTGGCTTGCTTCGCCAGCTGTTTCACTTGCGTCAAACAGAGTCTGTGTCTGAGTATGTTAGTAGATTCACTGAAACCATGCACTCCCTGATGGCTCATAGCACTACTTGGGACCCCGCTCTTTTTCCATCGAGATTTGTTGATGGACTGCGTGATGAAATTCGTGTTGTTGTTTTGGTGCATAACCCCAAAGACCTTGATACTGCCGTTTCTCTGGCTTATTTACAGGAGGAGGCGCTGGAGAATCCAAGCGAAGAGAACCAAAGCGCTCTGACAGTGGTACTGGGAATGGGACATGCAGTCGATCTCATCTTCGGGGTGCTATGCCTCTGCCTGCTCCACCTGGGCGACCACCGCCTGCTGTTGCCACACCAGGAGAGGACCGTCGTGATGCTGCATCAGAAGGACAGCGAGGCGGTAACACAGTCGAAGATCGTTTGTCCACTCTTAAAGCATACAGGGGGGCTAGAGGACTGTGCTATTTGTGCGGAGAAAAATGGAGCAGAGATCATAAATGTGCTGCGGCAGTTCAACTTCATGTGGTACAAGAAATGTTCGATGTGCTGGGGTATGCAGGCTACAATTCTGTTGAGGAGCAATCGGATAGGGTCAGCGAGTGTCACACCATCTCCCGAGCAGCAGTACAAGGGACTATGGCTCCTCAGACCATCAGACTTCAAGGGAAGATCCAACAGCAGCAGGTTCTGATGCTAGTCGATTCGGGGAGCTCACACAGCTTCGTCAGCACAGATTTGGCAGCCAAACTGCAAGGTGTTCACTGTACGACCAATACTCTGAAGGTCAAGATTGCTGATGGGGGACAGCTGATTTGCAACAAAGCAATTGAGAAGTGTGTTTGGTCAGTCCAAGGACACAAATTCTGTACAGATCTCAAGGTCCTTCCCTTAGGTTGCTATGACATGATTGTTGGCATGGACTGGTTAGAACAACACAGCCCGATGGATGTGCATTGGGGGCACAAACGGATGTCCTTCGAGCACCATGGGAAGAAAATCACTTTGAGTGGAATCCAACCACAAACCAATGAGTGTCACCCGGTGACTTTAGATCAGCTACACTTCCTGGTTGCCTGTAATGGCATTCACCAGATGGTACAATTGCAGACTGTGGACGATAAGCAAAAGGTTCAGCCTGAGACAGAGATGCCACCACCCATTGCTGATTTGATTAATGAGTTCCAATCCCTGTTTGAGGCTCCCAAAGGTTTACCTCTTTCCAGACCTTTCGACCACAAGATTCCTTTGATCCCCGGAGCTCAACCTGTCAACATCAAACCCTATCGCTACAATCCCTCGCAAAAAGACGAGATTGAAAAGCAGGTCAAGGAGATATTGTTGCAGGGTATTATACAACCTAGCTACAGCCTGTATGCCTCTCCAGTGTTGCTGGCTCAGAAAAAGGATTTAACCTCGAGGTTTTGCGTCGACTATCGGCAGCTAAATGCGATCACCGTCAGGAATAGGTTTCCTATGCCTGTCATAGAGGATTTGTTGGACGAGTTGGCAGGCGCCAAATGGTTCACTAGTTTGGATCTAAGGGCTGGATACCATCAGATCCGCATGGCAGCCGAAGATGTGTTCAAAACAGCCTTCAAGACTCACCTCGGCCATTACGAATTCAAGGTCATGCCTTATGGATTGTCGGAGGCCCCGGGCACCTTCCAAGGAGGCATGAATTATGTGTTGGCAGACCTAATCCGTCATGGAGTGCTAGTGTTTATTGATGATATACTAGTGCACAGCTCCACCCTTGCAGAACTTATTAACCTTCTTCGGCAAGTGTTTCAGCGATTGGAAAAGTATCAGCTCAAAGTGAAGATGTCGAAGTGCAAGTTTGCACAACCACAACTTACCTATCTGGGCCACGTAATCAGCGCCCATGGAGTGGCTACTGATGAGAAGAACATCACAGCAGTCAAAGATTGGCCAACGCCGGCTGGGGTGCGACAAGTTCGCGGGTTCCTCGGGTTGGCTGGATATTACAGGCGTTTCGTCAGGGATTTTGGACTTATCAGCCGTCCTCTTACCAACTTGCTGAAGAAAGGGGCAGTTTTTGTCTAGACCCAAGAAGCAGAGGAAGCATTCCAACATCTGAAACGGTCGTTGATCACTGCTCCTGTTTTAGCTCTCCCACGTTTCGATAAACCCTTCGAAATCGAGACGGATGCCTCTGACTTTGGAGTGGGTGCGGTGCTCATGCAAGAAGGGCACCCACTGGCTTTCCTCAGCAAGGCTCTGGGACCCAAAAACAGAGGTCTGTCAACTTACGAGAAGGAATTCATGGCCATCCTCATGGCAGTGGACAAATGGCGCTCATATTTGCACGGGGCAGAATTTATCATTCGCACAGATCAAAGTGCTTTGGCACATTTGAGTGATCAACAGCTGGTCACACCATGGCAGCGGTGTGCTTACACAAAACTGATGGGGCTGCAGTATAAAATTGTGTACCGTAAGGGAGTGGAGAACAACACTAGTAGAAAAAGGGCCTTTAGTCCCGGTTCATAAGGGCCTTTAGTCCTGGTTCTTGAACCGGGACTAAAGGGTCGTTACTAATGCCCTGACCCTTTAGTCCCGGTTCAAACCAGAACCGGGACTAAAGGCCATCCACGTGGACGGTCCACCTTTAGTCTCGGTTGGTAACACCAACCGGTACTAAAGAAAATTTTCTGATTTTTTTTGAAATTTTTTTTGAATTTTTTTTATTTTTGAATTTTTGAATTATTTTAACCTCTAATCTCTAATCACCCCTCAGCACTGCTCAATTTAATCTCTAATCACCCCTCATCATTCCAAATCATCTAACTTTCCGAACGGTCACCCATCCTCCCACTCCCCCAACCTGAGCATGCTTAACTTCCGGGTTCTATTCTCCCTCGTTTCCAAGTCTGCACTCGTTGTTTTCCTGACAATAGTAAGATGTCAATCCTATTAACCCTCAGGAGTTTAGCTTGAGCATGAAGTCACACATTTCACTGTTTGAGTTTGAAACTATTGTTCTAAAAAACAATAATTTTTTAGTAACACTAATATTTCTTAAATAAGTAGTTTGACCATTGTTTGACCACAGTTTGACCATAGTTTGACCAGATTTGACCAAAATTCAAAAAAACTAAAATAATTATTTAATAACACTAATATTCTTGAATAATTATTTAGTAACACTAACACTTCTTGAATAAGTAGTTTGACCATAGTTTGACCAGATTTAATGAAAATTTAAAAAAAGTGAAATTTGAGCATAACTTTTTTCCTTTTGGAATTTGAGGATTCTACAAATTTGCAAACAGGCCATAGGCGGTCTCCATCGGATGTAACTTTTCGAGTAGATGATTTTTCATATAAAAAACTTTTTAATCCGAGTTCGTATGCAAAAGTTATGCCCATTTTACAAATTCCAGAGAGATTTTGTAAATAAAGTCGAAATTCATATTTGTAAATTTTCCCAACAACTAGACCACATATCACATGGGAAACTTATTTTATTTTATTTTTTTGACATTTCCATCATTTTCTTTTGTTTTTTCTAAAACTGAAAAGGCGGTCCACGAG